ACACTATTTGGCAATAAAGCTAAATACTAGTATGACAACAAATTATTCAATTTGCATGACTACACACATAGCTCAGTTGATTTGTACTATGTCAGCAATGTCAGCGATCGCTGGTTCGAATCCGGTATGTTTAGTTAGATTTTTGAATGCTAGTGTAGACAGTGCTCCTATGATTAGGACTTAAATCCTATCTCTTGAGTGAAGAATACTACCCCACATGGAAGCCAGTCGAATAACGAACACAGTTGGCAGCTGTAGGTCACGTGCAACAACAGACACGAGGAGCATGGCTGCTCTCCAAATGAGTCCCTTCTTTTGTATTGACCCCCTAATGATTACTAACCCCCCTTTCTAACTCTTCCCCTAAAAATAATATATCGCCCCTTTTAAACTGTATTGACCCACAAATTAATGAATATTCATGAGCACAGAAACTGCTACGTCATGAATAAATTAGCATAATTTAAAAAAAAATTGCATAAAGTGTAGGTACTCCTTTTAGAGCCCTGCCAAGTGCCGTCTTGAAAACTGTCTACCGGTTGTCAATTTTGCAGGGCAGCAGCTCAAATTTTACTACTTCAAGTTTATGCATAAATTAACACCCAGGCTAGTTGTCAGTACGATTGTTGTAACACTGTTCAACCAAAAACATTGCCCCAACGTCGTTTTGAAGATAAACACATTGTCAATCATTTGTGAAAAATTCAAAACAAAAGGTCAAAGTGCCTAGGACCAATTTTAAGTTCCGAGATGTGCACTAAAAAGAAGCTGAGATAATTGCTAATTTGCATAACAATTCACTCAGTAAGAAGTTTGCTAATGCTCATTATTAAAATGGCTGTAACAGTTCCAAATTTATCATTATGTAAAAAGTTAAATATAGTGCATAATTTGGAGATCCCGTCATTAATTTTTTCGCCATATTTCTTTTTTAATATTTATGTACATCCTTGCTCAATCTTGCTAAGCATTCAAAAGAGAGAATGTTTCCACCTGTTATTTAAAAGTAGTCTTTTGAGTATGTTCCACTATTCACAATTCTACAAAATTTTAACATTCTATAGCCAAGACTGTTTGAATAATAAAAAGCAAAAAAAAACAAAATCACTTCTAAGTGCCCACAAACCTGCATCTTTACCTTAAGTATTCTACCGCATGACAACTTTACTTTCAAACCCTCTTATGAATCTAAAAATTATGATAATTCATTATGTTGTTGGAATGTCATTTGATTGAAAATGGTCTCAATGCATGACAAAATAAACGAAAAAGTGTGACATAACGTGAACATTTTGGTAAATAGAACCAACTTTCTAACTAAGATATCTACAAATATTTTTAGCAGCATTGATTTATGTGCACTTTGTTTGTGATTCAATTAAGCGAGTTATAGATATAACGTACCAAGTCGTTAA